CTAGCATACCTGTAGGCAATGAATAATTTTGAAGTGACTAAATCAATACAAAATTGACAAAGTCTCTATTGATTTAACCCATTATTTAGCTGATACGGTTCATTGTTTTTGAATTGCACATGGTCTATTTTGACAAAAACAGATTTTCTTATTTTATGAGCTTACACCTCTCTCATGGTCACATAACAAAGAGCTATAACTACATTCATGACTACAAAATTGATCCCAAACGAGACAAAATGCCAGAAATAGGAGCATCAGCTACTCTGGTCTAAACATTGTATGAAAGTCTTGTTGGCTGATTCAAGTGGGAGAAGAGCTCGAAGTTACAAGCATCATTTTGCTGTTTTATACCCAGTCGTGCAATCAAAAAGTGCCTCATTTATCAGTCCCCGCTCTCAACACAACAAACAGATGCTTGTAATTTGAATTGTATGACTCTCGTATCACCACCAGACAGTAGATCCTTGAAAGCACTTTCACCTTTGATAGTTAAAATAGGATATTTATCTCCTTGCCCCCAAAGAATTCCATGTCTTAAATGTAAAGTCAGAATTTACAATGTAGTAGAATCCTTGGGGTAGGGTTAGGATCCACAAAACAGACTGCCAGAAACCAGATAGTGAACTAAGTGAAGGATTATCATAGGAGTAAAATGGCCTTTGTAAAAATTATAACGGTGAAAAAATTATGACAGAGAAAGAGATATGACCTAACAGATTCCATCTTGCTTTTAACTCCCAAGCTGTCCTTATTCATTCCTGGGCATAGGCCAAACTACCTTTGGAAAGAATTCATTTTATATTTTAACTCTGAAACAAAGATGATAATGATGATAATAGCCCTTTCCCGAAACAAACCCTTTTCTTGCCTGGGGACCAGACTGGCTGTTGTAGGATGAACAAATTTGCCACAAGATTAGAAATTGTGATTTAGGAATCATGTAGCTAGAGGTCACAAGATTCTAAACCTCCCCAATTGCTCCTAGGATAACATCACTATTGTAAAACCTAAGATTGGTGCTTGAGATATTTTTCAGACCCTGAACTCGATGGATCACCTGGCACCACCCAGATTGATAAACTGGCTCATCTGGTTTTGTGTCCCTCACCCAGGAACCAACTCAGCTCAAGAGGACAGCTTCAACTCCTTATGATTTCATCTCCCACCCAACCAATCAGGACTCCCTGGCATCCTATCTACCAAATTATCCTTAAAAAACCCCAGTCTCTGAATTTTCAGAGAGACTGATTTGAGTAATAATAGAACTCTGGTCTCCTGTTCAGCAGGCTTTGTGTGAATTAAACTTTTTCTATTGCAATTCCTCTGTTTTGATAAATCAGCTCTGTCTGGGCAGCAGGCAAAATGAACCCACTGGGCAGTTACAGGAGCATTGGTTGACTTAAAGATTGGCTTATCCACCTACCAAAATCTAATGTCCACCATATTAAACACTTTAAAGCAATTAGAGCTGTCTTACTGAGAACACTTTGGACAATAATTCATAAACTATGTAACTGAATGATCTTTTGATGAGGTCTAATTCACACTATAATTCATTTTTTAGATGTTTAAAGTAATGTATTATGGTAATGCATAATGCACTTAGTTTCTATGACCAAAACATAGAAATAATTTCTCTATTTAAATGGGTAATTTATTTTTTTGTATAAATTATAATGATTTTAAAGCTTTATAAGACTCACAGTTTTGCTATTATTATTTAAATTTTCATAGAATATTCTTTTTCTAAACAATAAAGTACAAAGGGAGGAGGCTTTCAACTAATAGAAATTTATGTTCAAATCTCAACTCGGCAACTAGCAGTGTGAGTCTGAATGATAATTCCTACATCAAAGGACTGTGGTAAGGATATAATAACACGTGAATGTTGCTGTCTAGTTATTTGTTTGTTACCTGCTCCTTCCATTAGAAACCAATCTCAATGAGAGAAGAGCCTGATATATAGTAGGTGCTCAGAAATCATTTGTTGAATGAACATGATTAGCTTATTTTTCTGATAAAAAAGATTTAAGCTAATTTTTCTATATTTTAATGGTAACTCACCTAAAATACTTGAGGAAAATATTTCCTGGGAAGGAAAACGTCAGGAAGAAGCAGAAACCATTCTTGTCTTTCTTCTTTCAGATGCAGGAAAGTAAGACTGCACTTGGTGATGAGAGATGCATATTATCGACAAACTAATTGTGATCGACAGGGCTATCAAAGAGTAGTCTGGCAATGTCAAAAACACCTGCGCATGTAACTCTGAAGACTTACGACAATTAGATCAGTTATTTTGTGTTTTTCAAATGGCCCATGATGTGGTTGGTGGAAAGTCTGTATTTGTTGGGTTCTACATTCTTAGGCCCCCTCATAGTTTTTAGTCACTAATACAAATATGAAAAGTAACAAGGATTACATCATTAATTTATTAAATACATAATTATTGAGCACCAACTAATTGCCCAGAAATGTTCTACTCATTGGGGATACTGTAGTGAACACAACAATCAAGGCTGCTACCCTCTGTATTTAATGTACCGTGATGAACAATAACACATAATAAATATAAAAACAAACACTTCAGAAAGGAAATAGTGAGGCATGCTATTTATTCTGAAAAATAAAATAAGAGATATGCTAGTAGGTGACTAAAGGCTACTTTAGATTGGGTGCCAGAGAAGACCTCCCCTGAAGAAGTGTTCTTCAAGGAGATCTGAATGACATGGAGGAACCAGGAATACAAACATTGGGGAAAACATCATGGAGGGAGCAATAGGCTAGTGTAGCAGTCTTGAGAAGTGCCTGGGCCAGTTTGAATGACCAGATGGTAAGCCATTATACGGAAAAGAAAACTAAGCCAGCAATTTTCCAAGGGCATGAGGAATATTTCACTTTTTCTCATTTTTATATGGAAAGTTTTGGACAAGATAACTGCCAACAATTATTATATACTAAAAAAATTCAGAAATCTATGGTCAAGATGGTTCTGTTAATCCCAACTTAACTATGAAACATTGACTCTTTCAAGTCCTTTAGAAGAAAATTCCCATAGCTTGGGGAGTTGCACTTCTGGCTGAATGGGGTTGTAGATGTGGCAGTTGTTACAATGTTCTGTTTAGAAAAGCTAACAGTAACACTTTTCATATATGTGAGAGCTAGACAAACATGTCTGAATTATGTATTAATAAGACTTCCATTGGAGAGAGAAAAAGGGAGATATACAAAATTTAATACATGTAAATTAAAGCTTATTTTCTTTCATTGTGGTCCAAAACTTTAATTAGAAGAGCTTTGGTGGAAACAAGTCAGGTAATTAATTTTCATGGGATTAAAGATTCTAAATAGTCATAGTATAGTAAATATAGTATATTTGTATTTGTCTACCTCAGGCATAATATGTATATTTCTACTTAGAAATTCTGAGTTAGAATTGACATATTAACTTCCAATTAATGCAAATCAACTGTGAAAATAGCTTATGTATGCTTTAAATATTTAATATTTTAAAATAGTACAAAATGTAACGAAATAAACATGAAATATCAATGCTGGAATCAAGAACAACAGCCTTGAAGGATGATCAGAGTAAAATCAGGGATTTTCTTGGCGTGAAATTGTAGTTTGTTTTTTTCTCTCTCTCTTTTTTTTTTTTATTATTATTATACTTTAAGTTCTAGGGTACATGTGCATAACGTGCAGGTTTGTTACATATGTATACTTGTGCCATGTTGGTGTGCTGCACCCAACAACTCTACATAATTTGTACACTGCTGTATCCAACACTGAAAACCATATAATAATAAAAACCATCAAATCATCTCTTTATTTCATCTTCTTAAATATGGTTTAAGAATAGTCTGGGCCACTTTGAGTACAATATGTACATTTCTGTATGGAAATTCTAAGTTAAAACTGACATATTGACTCCCACTTGTGCCAATCAGTTGTAACATGATGTATTTCATAGAACTTATTTATTTAATGCATATGAATAACTACTACATGTCCTAGGTGTTAGAGTATGGCACAAATATAACAAAATCCCTGTCATCCTTAAAGTAGACAAGAGACAACAAATGAATATGTATTTTATCAGGTGGTGATAAGTTCTGTGGAGAAAAACAAAGATGCAGGGGGCAGTTAAGGAGCCTGGGAGAAGGAAGGAGCCTGGGAGAGGGAAGTGCGCAATTTTACAAGATGTGGTCAGGAAAATCCTCTCTGTTGAGATGATTTTTGAGCAGAGACCTGAGGGAAACTAGGTAAATGCATTACAGGAAGAAAGGATTGTCAGGACAAAGTCCTTGGGGCAGGGCAAGACAACTAGGAGGCCTGTGTGGCTGGAGCAAGTTGAGGGAGAGATCAGAAAAGATAAAGCCAGGAGGAACTGTGCGTGTGGGGGGGGGGGGGCGTGTTTGGGGGAAAAGGTTTTAACTTTGATTCAGAATGAGATGGAAGTCTTTGACAGGATTTGAGAAGCATGGCATGGTCTGAGTTATATTTTAAGAAGATCATACTCTGGCTGCCATGTTGAAAACAGATGGTAGAATGGCAAGTGTGGAGGTACATATAGCAGATTGGAACCTATTTCAACAATTAAGAAAGATAACTGGCTTGGCCCAGGGTGGAAGAAGTAGGTAGAAGGAGGGGAAGTATAGTTAAGGCTTGGTTATAATTTACTGATAGGGGTGTGTGTGTGTGTGTGTGTGTGTGTGTGTGTGTGTGTGTCTGTGTGTCTGTGTGTGTCTGTGTGTGTGTGTGTAAAAGGAAAGAAAGGAAAATAAATTGAAGGTGTTTGGTCTTAGCAACCCAAATTATGGTGCTTCTGTTAAGTGAAGTGGGGTTTCTGGGGAAGGAGCAGGTTGGAAGATTGTAAATCCATACTTTGTTTTAGGACAGATTAAGTTGGAGACTCTATTAAAGCTTCAAGTAGAGTACAAAAACATAGTGTACTTGTGTTTGTCTACCATGAGTATAATTTGTACATTTCTCTACAGAGATTCTGAGTTATAGTGGACATATTAACTCTCTTTTGTGGCTGAAGCTGGAAAAATAGATTTGTGAATTGTCAGTCAATGGATGACCAGCTAGGGCAGAATGGAACAGTCTGAGGATTGAATTGGACAAATTAGAAGGAATCAGAAAAGGACACTGAAGAAAGGTGAGTCCACAGGAAGAAGAATAGAAATGGTCCCAGAAACCAAGGGAAGAGATGGTGCAATCACAATTAAGATTATTTTAAAATTTATATTAATAACTGACTAGCTAGTTATTTAAGAGGACTCAACAACTTGTTGTGGCTGCATATTGGAGAACACTGGGAATAAGCTTTATAGCAGTTGCCAGTTTCAGCAGACCTTGAAAAGGAAAATGGTTTGCCTTAGTTTTACAGTTTGTTTTGAGAAAGAAAACCACTCATTTGTACCCTTTCTAAGTTGCAATATAAATGTCATTGTTCTTGTATTCTTCACAATAATGTCCATTAAACATGTATCTAGTCACATATTTTACCTCACTAGGGACTAAGGCATTGCATCATGTCAGGATTGTATTACTTTTCCCTCTCATATTCGTGTCTTACTCTTAATAGGAAATATGAGTAAATCAGGTATTTTTCTAAAGGTAATTTTCATTTATTTATAACACGTTTCTTTTTGGTGACATAAATTATCAGGAACATCATCACTCCAGAAAAAGATACAGTGGGGGTTCTTTTGTACATAATCCTTTGAAAACAACATTGGACTAAACATGAAACATCCATTTATTTCTCTGAAATAATTTCTCTTGAATATTTCTACACAAATAATTTTTCCCCACATCTTTTATTCTGTCTTTAATCTCCTAGTCCCTAGAACTATCTATAACCAAGTTAGTTCCACTATTTAATCTCTACTCATCACATCACACAAACCCCAAAATATGAGTAGTCAGTCACAAAATACAATCTATGAGAATGCTTTATTTTTGAACTTTTATATAATATTTGAAGGAGAAAATGACAATGGTGGCCCTCCCCTGAAAGCTGTGCTTCACAGCCTGCCTAATACAGCAAGACCTAAGGTAAGTGGAAAATAATCTGTGCAACAAGCTTACATGTCATCAAGAAATACTAATTGGCATTTTCTATAACAACAAAACAAAGATGTGTGTCTATACAACTGTATTACAAGAACGAGCTACTCTGCCCTTGACATATTTTAACCAGTAGCTTCATTAATTTGAGAAAAGTTTTGGATTTGCTGCCAAGTTCATGCAAAACAAAAAAAAAGTCCCAGACATACAGTGAACAATAAGGCATATAGTAACTCTGGTCAAAACATGTGCCAACTGCACTTATTAAAAGGTAAACTGTAGGGAAATAAGAGTGCTCCCAGGGTAAAATCAATGCATTTAATAACTAGAGTCTGACAAGCCAATGCAATGTACATATAATTTAGTTTTAAAACCTACTTAAAACACCATTTAATCACACTGTTGTTTCACCATTGTTAACACTGATATTATGTTTGAAATATTTTTAAGAAATGGTTCTAGACATTGGCAACATTTAGTAAATACTTTTAAGAGTCACAGCATACATATTGGGAATATAGTGTTTTTTGCAAAGCTATGAGACTACACAGATTCCTTTTTTTTTCTTTTTTTTGAGACAGAGTCTTACTCTGCCATCCAGGCTGGAATGCCATGGCACAATCTTGCCTCACTGCAAGCTCCATCTCCCGAGTTCAAGTGATTTTCCTGCCTCAGCCTCCCAAGTAGCTGGGACCACAGGCATGCAGCACCATGCCCGGCTATTTTTTTTTTCTTTTTTTTTTTTTTTTTTTTTTTTTTTTAGTAGAGAGGGGGTTTCACCATTTTGGCCAGGCTGGTCTTGAACTCCTAGTCTCAAGTGATCCGCCTGCCTCAGCCTCCCAAAGTGCTGGGATTACAGGTGTGAGCCACCACGCCTGGCCATGCTTCTTGAAGAAGTCTTTCATTACATGGCTGAAGGTCAAAGGAGGAAGAGAAAAACTAATGTACAGGTTGAATTCTACATTGACATCTATGACTGGCTAGCACATTTAGGTAGAGCATGATACTAATGAGAACAAAGTCACAGGCTTGATTCTGATATGTGTCATTAACCTCATTCTGTTTTATGTTTCCAAGCTGAACTCTAACCATCAACTTGTGAATCATGGCTTAGCTGGTCTCAATGGGGAACAAACCAGAGAGTGTATGGATCAACACGAAGCTATAACTGCTTCATGAAAAGAACTTTGCAGGGCACCGATCACCTTCTCTGACAAATGAAGGCAACTTATTACTTAAGAGCTACAAGAGGTAGTGAAAGGCCAGTAAACTGTGATACAGAAGACCTGGATTCCAATCCCAATTCTGTGATCCTTAAATTTGTAACCTATAATATATCAGTTAAACTATCTGACTTTTAATGTCCTTATTAATTATTTCATATTAATACTCTCCTAACCTAGCCCTGAATATTTAGGGTATCCAATAATATGTGACTTGGTTGCTCTTGTGTTTTAAGCTTTTAGTACATAGTTGATGCTTGCTTAATAAAATATTTGCTGAATAAATTGTTAAAATGAATTTGAAAGACTGAAGCACATTATTTCAATGTAACTTATTTAATCTAAATGACCATTTGTAGACATTTAATATAACCTAATATTCTTGTCAATATCTTTATAGATTCTGTTATATAAAAATAGATTATTTATTAAAATAATATAGAATAAAATGTTGTGATTGCATCTCTTTTCACAAACTGCTACAAATGTTTAATGTAATTAAAATGAGCTTATATAGAAAATCCAAACACATAATCAGTTTAAATTCAATCAGTTGCTAAAATATTAATCTAGTGACCTATGGTGTTGTACTATATACAGTCAATTATATAAAAAAAGAGAAAATTTGTGGGATAAATTTGGAGAAAAACAGTATTATATTTAATAATGACAAAAATATATAACCATTATTTGAAAGAAAATTATCTTTTAATATGGTTTGAAAGATAAATAACATTAAAAATAAGCTTTATACGCAAGTCAGTTACTGGCACACTTAGACTCTGCTTTAAAAAGTGTATGTGTACATGTGTGTATGTATTTTTTTTTAAAGAGGTACCTGTTTGTGCAACAGTTAAATGTCATTCAAACAATTAATTATTTAATGTTGACTACCTGATTACCTGGAAACCTTTCAAATGATACCAAAGCCTGAAATAGATTTTCTTTTTGGGAGGGGGGCAGACAGATATCAGGGTAACCCTCATGATTCTTTCCTCCTGGTATTTTCCTCATCTTGAATGTGGGCAGGAACTTTAACTTGCTTCTAACAAATAAGATGTAGCAAAAGTGATGGCCTGTCACTTCTATGCTTATACTATATAAAATCCAGTGCCAGCAAACTCACTCTCTTCCTCTCTTGCTGGCTTTGAAGAAGCAGGCTGCTTGTTGTAAAGGGTCTATGGTGAGACCAAGGTAGTAGCGAACTGAGGATGGCTTCTAAGAGCTGACATAACCTCTGATATAACTAAGAGCCACCAAGAAGTTGTGACCCTCAGTCTTGCAGCTGCAAGGAAATTAATTCTCTCATTATCATGAGTGACCTCAGGAAGTGATCCATCACCAGTGGTGCCTCCAGATGAAAACTGAACCCTGGTGACCTTAGATTGCAGCTTTGCAAAGGACCAGCTAGGCCATGCCTAGATTCCCGACCCTTGGAAACTGTGAGATAATAAGTGTGTATTGTTTTAACCCAGTAAATTTTTGAATAATTGAAATATTCAAGGAAGTAAAATTATTCTGACAAGAATATTGCAGACTCAAAAATACATACATGTATACATAGACATATATAAGTATAAACAGACTGGCTTTTTGTGGGGAGAACAGATGAATTTAGTAAAAACAAAACCTTTTTTAAAAAAACAGGTTGAATTCAAATTAAAAAGTATTGTTCTTGAATTTATAACAGTTGGATAGACTTAGCAAAATACTCCCCAAGCTGGTTGGTAATGTCAAGTCTCCTTAGTTTATATCCATGAAATAGCTAATTGCCAATGCCAGTCTAAGAGTTTTAGCCTGGATTTAAGATGTGTGCTTAAAGCAAGGCTATAGAAATATTCTCAGCTCAAGAATATTATTCAGTTTTCACTTTCCCTCCTCCAACTATAGTCATTCTTAGGCACCAATTAAAATGTGTACCATACAATCTGCATGAACTTTCTGGGAGGTTTATTCTTTCATTACATGTGAAAGAATTCCAGGCCCTCATTGTCAAAAAAAATGGGATTAACTGTACCTGTACATTATGCATAAATGGTCATCCCCATGTAGCTAACTACTACCTATTCTCAAATTGAGGTCAGATTCACATCCTCTAAAAGCCATATCTGACATTGTTCCATCTAATCTGATTTAGATGCTTTTTATCTGTACTTGAAGAGCACTCCATGCAAACCACTGGACCTGGTAATCATGCACCATCTGTTCCATTTCTTCCTTCTTGTGGGAAAGACTCTCCCTATTTTTCTTTGGCCCTCAGGTCAGTGCTTGCCACAAAGTAGACATTGAACAAACATTTGGGAACTTTTATTTTTCAAATTGGTTTTTACATGTATATGCACATACATTTTAACCTCACAAATGTTCAAGTAATAATGTGGCAAAGATTAACTTGGTCTGTTGAGAGAGAGAGAGAGCAGATGTTTTGTTATAATAACATAGCCCTATTATTTAATGAGGCATATTACATATCTATTCCTTCTATGTACATGGTAAATTTTAATTAATATTCTCTGATAACAAAAGATATAAGTAAGAAATCTTGAATTTAGATTATATAAAATAAAATTTATTGTTTAGATATTTAAAAATGCACTAAAACCATAAGTAAAATTTAGAGAAAACCCTAATATTGTGCTAGCAATAACAATATATGCTGGTGCATTGGTGAAGCTCATGAAGAGGCATATTATTTTTGTCTTGTTTCTCATCCAGATGTAACCCTGTCAGCCTTAATGTCCTATTCCCAGTTCACAACTCATATAACTCTGTATGGCTGCAGACAAGAATATCAAAATTATTAAGCTAATTATAATTGACTTATAATTCTTATGTCTGCCATTTCCAAGCCCATTCTTCAAACTAAAATAACTATATTTATATTACAAACACTGTTTTTGTTCTAATACATTATTCTACAATCCTGTAGAAATGCTGATGTATTGAATGTACAATTCTCCTTTAATGTAAATTGATTCTGTTGTGGTATTTTATATTTGCAGCTAAAAATATATAGGAAAATCTTCTTCAGCTGAAACAGGGAGTATTTTTTTGTTTACCTGGTTTTGAACTAGCAGTATGCAACATACAGAGTTAGCTGGAAGATAGTCCTTATTATGAAATACTGGTTAGGGGAACAGACCCTGGAGTCAGATTATCCAGGATTGAATCCTGGCTGTGTGACTTCTGGTGAGCCACTTCTCTGAATTTCAGTTTCTTCATCTGGAAAGGATAATAACTTTGTAGGGATATGGATGAAGCTGGAAACCATCATTCTGAGCAAACTGTCACAAGGATAGAAAACCAAACACCGCGTGTTCTCACTCATAGGTGGGAATTGAACAATGAGAACAGTTGGACACAGGGTGGGGAACATCACACACCAGGACCTACAGTGGGGTGGCGGGAGGGGGGAGGGATAACATTAGGAGATATACCTAATGTAAATGACAAGTTAACGGGTGCAGCAAACTACATGGCACATTGTATATATATGTAGTAAATCTGCACGTTGTGAACATGTACCCTAGAACTTAAAGTATAATAAAAAAAAGTCTACCTTATAGTGTTGGTGTGAACATTAAGTACAGTAATGGGCATATAATGCTTACAATAGTGCCTGCCACAAAAAATATCCTTATTAAATATTAACTACTTAATTACCTGTCTCATAAGCTCTCTGATGTCAATATTTCAAAGTGGGCAGGATATTAAGTATAATAATTAAAAATTATTATTATTAGGGTTACTAAAAGTATAACATGTCTAATGTTCAAAATAATTTAGGCAAAAAATTAATGTTTTTTGCAAACTTTTTTTAAAAGACGAAAAGACAATAATGGCCATTCATATAATATGAACATTATTAAGTAGTGTTAATTCTCATTAAATATAATAAGGCCTAATTTTCAAAATCAAAAGTTGAGGTTATTGAGAATTTCAACAAAAGAAATGGGACAGATATGAGTACTACAGTGGCAGATATGCAATATTGATTTATAGAAAAAAACATGGACTATTAAATATATCACTGATTTTTGTTGTAACCATATCATTGATTTTTGTTGTTTGAAATGTGATGTGGATGATAGTCTCTTGGGTAGATTAATTGCTGGTTGCTGGTTATATAGTGTACTCAGACAGTATTGATTAATAGCTTGAGATTAACCTGGAAACATGATTCAAAGGACATGTAGAATTCTAATTTTTCATTTTAACCAACAACCTGGGTGAAGATAGGAAGTATGATTTACCAACTTTGTGGGTAACAGGGCAACATGTTATAGAATAAAAATTACTTTGGAAATGCAGAGCAAGATGACCAAATAGAAGCCTCCACCAATCATCCTCCCTGTAGGAATACAAAATTTAACAATGATCCACACAAAAAGTACCGTCATAAGAACCAAAAATCAGGTGAGCAAACTCTGTACCTGGCTTAAGCTTTATATCAGTGAAAAAGGCACCGAAGAGGGTAGGAAAGAAAGTCTTGAATTGTCGATGCCACCCCTCCCCCATGCTTCAGCAGTGGCCACGTGGCACAGAGAATGACTCTGTGCTTGGGGGAGGGAGAGCACAGTAACTGGGGACTTTGCTTTGGAACTCAGTGCTGCCCTGTCACGGCGAAAAGCAACACTGGGCAGAACTCAGCTAGCGCCAATGGAGGGAGAATATAGACCAGCCCTAGCCAGAGTGGAATTGCCCATTCCAGTGGTCAGAATCTGAGATCCAGCAAGCCTCATTGCCATAAGTTAAAGTGTTCTGGGGTACTAAATAAACTTGAACGACAGTCTAAGCCACAAAGACTGAAATTCCTGGGCCAGTACTGATGCTGGGATGGCTTTAGAATTAGTGGTTATGGGGGACATGTGACCTAGTGAGACACCAGCAGGGGCAGCCAAAGGAGTGCTTGCACCACCCCACCCCCAAGCCTAGGCAGTGCAGCTTGCACCTGCAGGTGAGACTCCTTCCCTCCACCTAAGGAGAGGAGAGGGAAGAGTAGAGGGCTTTGTCTTGCAATTTGGATACCAGCTCATCCATGGTAGGAGAGGGCAAAAGGCAGAGTCATGAGCCCCACCATTCCTGGCCTTACCTCCTGGATGACATTTTTAGGAATACCCTGAACCAAAAGGGAACCCGCTGCCTTGAAGGGAAGGAAGCAGTCCTGGCAGCATTCATCACCTGCTGACTAAAGAGCCCTTGGCCCCTGAATAATCAGCAGCAATAGCCAGGTAGTACTCACTGTGGGCCTAGGGTAAGACTGAGAAATGTTGGCTTCAGGTGTGACCCAGAAC